ATGTTCATACACAACTCTTTAGGGACACCGCTTGCTCCACCACTCTCGAATACTTAAAGGATCATGGGACTTAGTAACTGGGGTTATAATTAGGGTAACCATACTTATAACTACTTATAACCCCAGTTAAGGTACTTATAACCCTACTTACTAAGTCCCATGATCCTCCAAGTAAAGCCTTCAGACTGCACAAAGCAGTCCCACCTGGCCCCAAGGCGCCGCTGAGACAGCACCAGCCTAAGACGAGGGGGGATGTAGGTTTAGGATTTTTTTGATGTGTGATGACCTAGGTTTAGAGCTTAGGGTATAGGGTTTAGGGTTAGGGTACAGGGTTTAGGGTTGAGGGCTTGCGGTATGTTCTACATGAAATGGGGACTATAAGGAAGTCTATTGCTAACCACGCAAGACCCATACCACGAGAAGAGTACAGAGAGTTGCAAGGCGCTGCAGCGATTTGGGAGTTTCCGAAAATAGGGGACCCTAACAAAGGGATCCTTTAAGGGTTCCTTAAAGGGATCTATAGGGGCTCTATAAACGGTTTAGGGTTTAGGGTTACCCTAAGTAGTAGGATCCTTATTATAAGGACCCCAAAGAAAGGTACCCCTATTTTCGGAAACTCCCATTTATGTGAACTTGATTCGGGGGGGTGGTGCTTCAGGGTCCCCAAATCTTAAAGGCTTTAGGGTTTCGATACATTAAACAGAAACCCTAAACCAAGAAGCCCAAACCCCGAAACCCGAATCCCAAAGCGTCTGGATCTGCTGCTGAGCAGGGCTTTGCGATCAAAGCACTTCGTTAGCAGGGTAGTAAGAGTCTCAGGGAGTTTTTACGGTTGTTCATGCAGATGTTCCCTGTGCTCCCGGGATTGGACAACTTAAGCAGCAGGACCAACGCAAGTGCTTACACTGCCCCCAAAAGGTCCGAGTACCTGATAATCATATACTCTCCAAAATCCTAACCTACATAACTACTATCCGAAAACCGAATACCTAATTATAAGGTCGTTCGGACCCTTGGGGTACTAGCTGAGTCGTCAGTTGCAATTAGCGCCTGCAGGCTTGCCAAAATTGGGAGTTAGGATTCGGGGGACCCCTCTCAATAAGGCCCCTTTTAAGGAGAGCCAGACGTAAGGGTCAGAAGGGGTACCCTTTAAGGGGTCTCCCTAATATACTACCTAAAAATGGCCCAGTCCCCTGCATATCTTTATCTCCACAACATGGTCCTGTCTTTTGGGAGTTTCCGAAAATAGGGGCCTACTATGGCACCCTAAGTAGTAGTACTAGTACTAGTACTAGTACTAGTACTAGTACTAGTAGTAGTAGTAGTAGTAGTAGTAGTAGTAGTAGTAGTAGTAGTAGTAGTAGTAGTAGTAGTAGTGGCAGTAGTGGTAGTAGTGGTAGTAGTGGTAGTAGTAGTAGTAGTAGTAGTAGTAGTAGTAGTAGTAGTAGTAGTAGTAGTAGTAGTAGTAGTAGTAGTAGTAGTAGTAGTAGTAGTAGTAGTAGTAGTAGTAGTAGTAGTAGTAGTAGTAGTAGTAGTAGTAGTAGTAGTAGTAGTAGTAGTAGTAGTAGTAGTAGTAGTAGTAGTGGTGGTAGTAGTAGTAGTAGTGGTAGGATCCTTATTAGAAGGATCCCAAAACAAGGTACCCCCAATTTGGGGAAACTCCCATATCAGCTTTGTAGAGCCCTGGTCACTACGTCTCCTGATCCCTGAAGCGCCGTGGGACAGGGTCGGAGCCAGCTGTGGGAGGGTTCACCACGCAGTGGCCGGGAAGGTGCGGTGCCAGGTGCTTCTTAGCCTCGTGGAGAGCTTCGAGGCTAGCTCATAGTTGGGATAGGATTATACATCTACAATATATTCCTTATTGGGTTTAAGTACCCAGAAAAAATGTAAAATGTTACCCAACTATGACGAAGGAGGGAGGGAGAGCGAGAGGCGGGAGCTTTGTTTCTGGCCTGGTCTACGGGTTGAAGGCCTTCACTCTATAGACCCTGAACTAATGCCTCAAACTCAAAACGACTTGTCACCTATCAAAGGGTAAAAGGAGGGAAATAAGGACCCCCCTAGATATATACCCATAATATACCCATTATATAGCTCCATTATAAGGTAGGGGTCCCCATTAAGGGTCCCTCCCCTTCCCCTTTGATACACCCTAAACCCAAAACCCTTTATAGAATCCTTATAGATCCCTTTAAGGAACCCTATATAAGGGTCCCTCCTTTTCCCCTTTTGAAACACCGAATTTCCGAGCACCCCAGAGACTCCTCAAGGATCCCGTCATGATTTGAGGTATACGGTTGATAATAGAAGTAAGGGATCCAGAAAAGGGGTTCCTTAAAGGGATCTATAGGGGTTCCTTACAGGGATCTATAGGGTTTAGGGTTTAGGGTCTACTTGGAGGATCATGGGACTTAGTAAGTAAGGTTATAAGTACCTTAATTGGGGTTATCAGTAGTTATAAGTATAGCTATCTTATCTATAACCCCGCTTACTAAGTCCCATGATCCTCCAAGTAGACCCCTAAACCCTAAACCCTATAGATCCCTTTTAAGGAACCCCTATAGATCCCCTTTAAGGAGCCCTTTAAAGGAACCCTTTGAAGGCCAAAAGAAGCGCAGCCAAGGCAGGACCAGTAGACCGTCACGGCCGGAGCCGAGGAAAAATTATGCTATCGGCAAGTGGGTTGGGCATGGGGTTTAGGGTTTAGGGTTTAGGGTGTAGGGTTTAGGGTTTAGGGTGGCGATTGTCTGGCTGGGGACTCTCTATTTGAAGAGGCGGTCCGCACAATCGACATGCTCTCGCAGCTTAGAGGTTAGAGCATGTGTGCTCTTGACGTCGGATGCAGCGGAAGCCCCAGAAGCTGCCGAGACTAAAGGTGCTTTGATAATTAGAGTAGGGTTCTGAGGTGTATGCCACAATACAAATTAAGACTAATTTGTAATTATGCAAGCACGGCACCTTGTATATTTCGTAGGCTCACAAACCTTCATAGAACCCTTATAGGTCGCCTTATGCAACCTGAACCACCTCAAAACCAGCCCAATCAAGCCTAAACCCTAAACCCTAAATCCCTAAATCCCTGAACCCCGAAACCCCTAAACCCTGAAACCCCTACACCCCTAAACCCTAGACCCCTCAACCCTACACCCCCTAGGATACCCAGTAACCTAAGAAGAACAAGGCCTCTCTTTTTGGTATTGGGTAACTTTATAAGGAACCTAGGACTACAAAAAGGGAATAAGGGTACTACTGGGCATCCTAGCCCCTAAAACCTGATCCGAGCCCATCTTCGCCGAGTCGCACAGATGGGGCCGAGCCCCGGGCCGCCTCCGCCGTGGGGGATGCTGAAGGTCTTGTGCAGGTTCAGATGGCACCTCGAGTTCGGGACTAGGGTTCGGGGATGTTTAGGGTTTAGGGTTTTGGAGTTTAGTTGCTTAGGGTTGGGGGGGAAGATATTATAGAAGGTCTTGTGCAGGTTCAGGTGGCACCTTGGGTCCGGGATTCGGACTTAGGGTTGAGGGTTTAGGGATTAGGGTTTAAGGGTTTAGGGTTTAGGGATTCGGGCAGAGGATTTAGGGATTAGGGTTTAGGGTTTAGGGGTATTATAGAAGGTCTTGTGCAGGTTCAGATGGCACCTCGAGTTCGGGATTCGAGCAGAGGATTTAGGGATTAGGGTTTAGGGGTTTAGGGTTTACAAGAGTTTCAAGCCCTGAAAAGGGGATCATATTCCAGCAGAGATCCGCCTGCCGAGGCACTTCAACGAAGGAGGCTTTTGCATCCGGTGCTTCATGCTTGAAGGCTATGGGCTTCTGGGTCTTGGGGCTGAGGGAACTTTGAAAAGGACCTAACAGTGGGGCCTGAATAGACAGGGACCATAAGGAAAAAAAATCTGACTGTTTATTCAGACCGGTATATAATCAGGGAACAGGGCTCCAAAGGCAATTAAATGATATTGAGAGCGACTTTAAGATGGTGTTGACGGCGTTTTCAAGCGGGGTCTCGTGGGCTACCTCTACCCGGAAAAACCTGAAGAAATCATAATAAGGAACCCGAAAAAGGAGGCAGGTTATTCAGGGTTAAGGTAAACCCCAAACTCCAATTTCATACTTTCTGGCCGTTAAACCCGGAGCCTTTCATTCTAAACCCAAATTTCATATCCCTGCCCTGAACCACCCGCGCTGATCTGCACAGGGCACACGTCGGCGCCAATCATGCCCGGGGAGGTCAGGCCAAGCTGGGCGTTCCTTGCAAGGGTTTAGGTTAGTTTAGGGTGTGGGGTTTGGCTTTTGGGGTTTAGGTTTTAGGATAGAGAACCCTAGAGCACCAAGCAAGCTTTAGGATTCAGGGGGGGTGGGATTTAATTTGGGGTTTAGGGTTACGGGTTCAAAGGTTCAATTCCTTTGGGTGTAGGACTCAGAGGTCTTCAAACCTTCCTGAGCCTTGGCCCGTACATGCCCGTACCCCTACGGTGCAGGGTGGATGCTACAGGGTCTACTGACTCTAGCGTCCTTGATAAATTGAACAGGGTTTGGGATCTGTCGTATTCCAACAAGGAACCCTAAAGAATAATGTTGGTAAATATTGATGCCTCCCTAAACCCTAAACCCTCAGTAGAAGCCAGAAAGTTGGAATATGATTATCCTGACCCTTCTAATGGTAAAATATAGGGTATCCTACCCTGAAACCATATTCCAACTTTCTGGAGTTCCCTTTGGTGGGATGAAGGTAGGTGGGATATTCCCAAATGAGAGTCCTTGTATAAGGGATCCTTGATCCTACCCACCTTCATCCCACCTTTTGCGGCCTCCGAAAACCCTCCTGAAGGACCAAATGACCCTTAAAAGTAGGGGCCCTATACCCATATACTATGAATCCCTATATGGTATATCAACCTTAAACCCTTTTAGGTTTCATGTCGTCCTTAAACCCTAGAAGGCTCCTTTAACAATTAGAATATAAGGGATCTATAAGGGTACTATAATATAGGGGCCTAAATTACCCTAAACCCTAGAAGGCTCCAGGCCAAAGGGCATGTTCGCGCCATCCATGTAAACCTGGCCGCCGTTCTCGTGGACGGTGGCGCAGATCTCCTGCAGGCAGCTTTGCGAACCCTAAACCCTAAACCCAAAACCTTAAACCCTAAACACAGTGAGTACCTTCCAAAATCCTTTAATTAAGGAATATACCTTAAATTATGATAGGATCCCTAATATTAATTAAGGAATATACCTTAAATTATAATAGGATGCCTAATATTAATTAAGGAATATTCCTTAAATAAGGGATATTGGAGTCTCTGGGTCCATCCAGTGAGTACGGAACTGAGACCCAGAAACACGAGGAACGCCTTGGTAGCTTCAGAATCTTCACGCGCATGTCCTGGATGTTATCTTCGAAGAATGCCCGCGTGGATGGGTATGTGACCATCAAACACGCCAAGCGGTCCTGGTGTTGCACAAAGTTCAGCAGGCACAATGCACTATGGCATGGCATTGCACCTGCAGATCCTCAAACATCAAGGCTCCTTCTTGCACTAGCAAATACTTAGAGACATGCGCAAGCTCCGTTCGCTTGAAGGTTCAACATGGGTTGTAGTAAGCAGGGTTGTAAGTACCTTCAGTAGGATTGAATCACGGTCCTTGTACTCTGCGCAGAGTGTCTTGAACTCCTCAAGGTCCATGCCACGCGAGTCCTGCCAATGCATCTCTTGTTCTCCGCACACTTGGTGTAGGGCTTAGGGTTTGAAGTGTCGTTAGTGTTGCGGTTTATGGTATTGGGCCTTTGTATGAGCTGAGGCTTCTTTCGGGGGTTTTCCAAGGATGTATATATTATAGGGGCCTTAACAATTATAACGGCGCTTGATTGTATGCTATACTATGCTTATAACAAGGAACCCCCCAAAATAGTATGGGTAATTGTTAAGGCCCCTATATGATAGGGTTCACTCTGCGGCTTCATGACCGAGTCTCCGTGCTCAAAGGCTCGCAAGGCAGATTGGATCCCTCTGAGAGACTTTGAAGACCTTGTAACCTGCACGCAGCTCATCCCGGAGCAATGTGCCTCAATCCACTTGATCTCCATGCCGCACATCGCCTGCATGGCGTGCACTTCGAGACGTTTGCAGATGCGTGTCACTGTATGATGTAGGATTTTCAGGACTAGCCTAGTCTCCACATAATAAACCAAATATACCCTTAGACTCTTAGCAATATAACCCTAAACCCTAAACCCTATTAGCAGAGGCCAATATCAAAACCCTAAACCCTAAACAGAAAGGCCACTTCCACTGAACTTGCAACTCCTCCCCGTCTCGAGTCGTCCGGACTTTCAGGATTCGAGGGAGGCGGTGCCAAAAAGGGTCTTCATGAGGAGCACAAGTGTGTCTCTTTTGGGGGGAGGGGAGGGGAGGGGAGGGGGTTTAGGGTTTAGGGTTTAGGGGAGGGGAGGGGAGGGGAGGGGAGGGGATTTTACAGTAAAGTTATCAAGGAACCCTGAAGACTTATTCTAATTACTATACTTGCAGCACAGTACACTCCACAACCAGATGTTCTTTCAAGGTCGAGATGCCGCAGATGCCGGGTTCGTGCCGTGGGCGGACCTGGAGCTCTTTAGGTGCTCAGGGTTTTGGGGGCTTCATTGTTTGAGCCTTCACTTGGAGGCCCTTTTGACTTAGTAAGTCTACTTAGTATCCCCTAGAAACCCTATTATAATCCCCATAACCCAGCTTACTAACCCTACTTACTAAGTCAAAAGGGCCTCCAAGTAAACGTTTTGGGATGAGGGCTTGGGGTCTAATGGAGACACTGAAGACTTCACTTTAAAAGGGTGATTCAAGGTATTGGATGGATCAGGCCTAGTAGCTAGCACATCAATGGTGCTATGATGAGGCTATGGTGCTTGCAAGCTAACTTCCTACAGTCTGTATACAAAGGTCCCTGATACTTGAATCAGCTCTAAACCCTAAACCCCTAAATCGTAAACCCTAAAACCTAAACCCTAAGCTCTTCAAGTCTTCAAGCGAGGCTTGCAGTGGACGGAAACACAGACAGTACAAGAGCAGGATCTTCTTTAAGAGAAGCACTATATGAAACCGAAACCCTTCTTTTCCAAAGTCAAAAAACATTGGGTTTAGGGTTTAGGGGTTTAGGGTTTAGGGTCTCCTGAGACGCGATAAAACCCTCATACACCAAGACCCTCAAAAACCTCAAGTCTATCAGACGCCCTGCTCCCTCTCTGTGCCTCGGGATGATGCACACATCGCGATGGCCTGCAGTTCGATGGAAAGAACTTTTTGCAAGGGGCGATTCTGCTTTCGGTACAGGGCTATAATATAGGGGCCTTAATAGTCTATATATGGGCTACTACCATAAGTGTCCTGAAATGGTTTAAGGGTCATCTGCTACAGGGATTTCGGCTAAGGATCTGCGAAGCGAGCTCCGAGGTCCAGGTTTAGGGGCGCTAAACCGCTAAACCCCCCCCCAAAAAAAGTGCCTTCATAATTTCAATAGGGGTTTAGGGTATGCTATACTATATATCTAGAAAAGGGACCCCCCAAAATAGTAGATTTAGGCCCCTAAAATCGAACCCGATTATCGATCCCTTTCAGGAACCCTATTATGGATTCCTTATAGACCCCTTTAAAGGGAACCGTAGATAATCATCCAGGCCCCTAGTTTACTACTTCGCAGACTTTCTTAAACCGTGAGAGCTCTGCGGCCTTCGCCCTTGGCCTCCAGGTACTTGCGGATCACAAGCAAGCCTGCGTACCTTAAGGACGAAATGAAACCTAAAAGGGTTTAAGGTTCATATACCATATGGGGATTCATAGTATATGGGTATAGGGCCCCTACTTTTAAGGGTCATTTGGTCCTTCAGGTACCTGGGAAGTCGCGCGAACCCCGTTAGACCCAAGAGTAACCCAGGAATAAAAAGGGTGCCCTTTTTGGGGGGACAAAAAAGGGGGCCTGAACCCTACAAAAAGGGAATAAGGGCCTACTCCAGGTCCTAGCCCGTGTTTAGGGACCGGGTTTAGGGTTTAGGACTTAGGGTGTGTCGCGCGAACCCGGTGTTTAGGGACTGTTTTTTTGCTAAAGCTTGCTTTAGGGTTTATGCTGATAGCTAAACAAACTATAGAATGTAATTCCGACTGAGACACCCATAAACACCGTATTTAAGACCCTATACGAACCGTATGAACGCAAAAGTTCTGCAACTGCCTGGTAAAGTGGCCTCTTCGGGGACGGTCTGCCGGAGGCTCGTGGAATTCGAGTTCGGTGGCCGACTTAGAGCCTATCAGAATGAGGCAGAAGGACATCTTGGGTTCGGCCAAAAGCATCCTCAAGAACAGTTGGTGCCCTCACTGGCCTCATCTGCTATCCTGGATTCTTGTTAAGGAATCGGATTAGGTACCATGATAAGGATACCATACTATCTCTTATAGACCCCCAGCATGGTAACTTCACTTAAATCCCCTAACAAGAACCCAAGATCTGGCGCAGAGAGAGCTATCGTCAAGGACTTCAGATTCACAAGCTATGGAAGGCAAAACAACATTAATAATGGCCCCATAAAAATGAACAATATCCAAAAAACAAAAAATTAAACATTGACCACACCTCAAAAGCTGTAACAACCCCAAAGAACCCTCGCCCGGTCACTCGCCAGAGGCGCCGCTAGTCGGCTGCAGGGAGCAAGCATCGAAGCCTTCCGAGTCTAGGGATGTTTGTAGGGCGTATGATATAGGGGCCTTAATAATTAGAAGAAGGGTTCCCTTAAAGGGATCCTTTTAAAGGCGTCTACGAAAGGGCTACTGTAACGGGTAGTATGAGGGTTTAGTATAGTGAGTATAGTGGCTTGAATAGTTAGAATAGGGTTTTGGGGCCCATTATACGATACGTATGATAAGAAACCTTAACTAGTCTTGGTAATTACTTAGGCCCCTATAGTAAGGCTTTGGGTCCAGGCTTTAGGGTCCAGGGTTTAAGTTTTGGGGTTGAATCGGTTTAGGGTTGAGCAAGGTTTAGGGTTTAGGAAGCCGCTTTGAAGGGCCTTGAAGGGCTTGTTGAGGGGGTTCAGTGCTTGGAGGATCATGGGACTTAGTAAGGTTGTAGGCACCTTAGTTTGAGCTGTACGTAATTATGAAAAGTATTGTTACAATGGTTATAACCTTACTTGCTAAGCCCCATGATCCTCCAAGTGAGAGGCTGTAAGAGCCTTTTGAGGCTTGTTGGGACTTTGGGGGTGTGACAATGAAGCTGTTCTTACTAATCTTTTTCATATATACTACTTACTACGATTAGTAGTTGCCCTTCATTTCCTAATTACTACTATGTTTGTTGCTATGAGTTACTGTTATTGTTGTTATTGATATTCTCATTCTTATCTTCTTGGTAGAAATGTCACTTATATCGCTATTACTACTATTATCATGAAACCCCGAAACCCCAAACCCCTAAACCCCTAAATCCTAAACTCTAAACCCCCAAACCCTAAACCCCGAAACCCTAAACCCTTTGAGAAGATCCCGGTCTTCCGGCAGGAACCCAGCAGCCTGAACCCTAAACCCCTAAACCCTAAACCCCTAAACTCTTAAACCCCTAAACCCGAAACCCTAAACACCCTTAAACCCCTAAACACCCTTAAACCCTAAACACCCTTTAAACCCCCTAAACCCGAAACCCTAAACCCCTAAACCCTTAAACCCTAAACACCCTTAAACCCCTAAACCCGAAACCCTAAACACCCTTTAAACCCCCTAAACCCGAAACCCTAAACCCCTAAACCCTTAAACCCCTAAACTCGAAACCCTAAACCCCTGAACCCTTAAACCCTAAATCCCTAAATCCCTAAACCCCTATAGATCCCTTAAAGGAACCCTCACAGTACCCTTTCAAGGAGCCCTTTAAAGGGTAAACCAGCAGCCTGTGCAGCTGATGAGGTACTTCTCCAGAGATTCCAGCATCTCGCGATAGCCCGCCTCAAGATTCAGGCCGGTGGCCCCCAAACCCAGCTTGCTTTGTTAAGGTTCCTTAAAGGGCTCCTTAAAAGGGTCTGTAGGGTTCCCTAGAAAAGGATCTACAGGGCTTAGGGTTTTGGGTTTAGAGAACACTAGATTGAACCCCGAATTATCGGGCAAAACACTTCGAACGGTAGGCAGTTGGAGCCGCGGGTATGGCTTAACAAACATTGCTCTTGCACACTTCCACACTGAAGCTGGAATGAAGGCTGAAGGGATATGACGTGGTGTTCAAAGTACAAGCATAACCCATAAGGAAACACCCGAAAAAGGAGCCCAACCATCTTAAGGAGCCTATGCCCACTCACCAAAGGCCCAACATCAGCCCTGCTTCACATTATCCGGCTTCCCAGGACAGCCGGAACCCCAATATAGGGGCCTTAATAATTACAACAAGGTTTTGGGGGATATATGATACCATAAATATACAAATAAGGCACCCCCAAGGTAGGACAGGTAATTATGTAAGTCCCTATTTTACACTTCACCAACCAGGCCGCAGTCTGGCTGTGGGGCGCGAAGGGGTGCATGTTTCCCACCTGGCACAGGCAAGTTTGTCGAGATACTGTGGTACCTACACAGGCCTTAAACCCTAAAAACCCTAAATACAGGTAAACCCTATAAACCCTAAAACCCCCAAATATCAGGCCCTAACAAGTCCAAACTGAACTTAGACCCCTAGGCAAAGA